TAATAGTCTAATAAATATAAAGTCATTGCCAGTCTTATCAGTTGTAAGTGTGTATTTGTTGTAATAATGACAAAAACATAATACATTTCACAGTAATTATAATAAAAAATAAAAACGATTTCCTTAAAAAATGATGATTCGTCACATCACGCTCGTGACCCCGCAGCGAGCTGGGGGTGTGTCAGTGACACACCCACGGCCAGCTCGCCGCCCGCCGGTTTTGCGGCAGCTCTTTCCCTCAAGAACGCTAACGAAAAAGCTCTATAATGGCAGGCAAACATATAGAAAAAACTTATTTTCTAAAAAGAATATAATTCACAAGAAGAAAGAGGCTAGCACCGAAGCTACAAGTGAAGCTGCTAGTAGGCCTACTACATCACCAGAAGAGCCGCCTAAAGACGTGGATAATGCTAGCACTAACGTTAACGTTAGCTGCGCTAGCAACGTTCCCCTGGCTAGCTCAAGCTCACCTTTCCCAGAGGTATGGACGGAGGAGATGTGGCGGAGGAAACAAGAGGCTACCCGTGGATAGACTGCAAAGCTGGGAAACTGGGCTGCAAAGTTTGTTCATCCAATTCGGATTTATCAGTCTTCAAAACGCAGTGTGTGTGTGTGTGTGTGTGTGTGTGTGTGTGTGTGTGTGTGTGTGTGTGTGTGTGTGTGTGTGTGTGTGTGTGTGTGTGTGTGTGTGTGTGTGTGTGTGTGTGTGTGTGTGTGTGTGTGTGTGTGTGTGTGTGTGTGTGTGTGTGTGTGTGTGTGTGGCAGCGCTGTCTGCTTATTTGCAATATAAGCTAGGCCTAATCAGAATAATTTCAAGTCCAGATTCAATGTTGTTTGCATAAGTAGGCTATATTTTTGGTTTCGTTTATGTAATAAGTTAATTTCAGGACAACTTTAGGAATTTTGTTTGTTTGTTATGAATTTTAAATAGATTTTGAAAGTGGAGATAGAGAAAGAAGCAGCGCTGTCTGCTTAGTTGCAATACTGTAGCTCAGTGACCACTAGGGGTGGGCGGATCGATCCCAAAATATCGATACCTCCGATATTACGTTACGTTTCAAAATATCGATACTAGAGCCAATAGGATCGATACTGTTATACTTTTTTTCTCGTCTCCTCTACTCGTCAATTTCTTCAAAAAACTATGTGCAGACGAACACAAGTATATGCTCTTTTCTTCTCTCTCCACTGCTGTCCTCTTCTCCTCGAGGCTCCCTGCCTGAACGCCGATTATCAAGCTGACTGACAGCAGCCAGCAGGGCAGTCAGCAGCAGCCAGCGACTCGCGAGTGCAACACACACACGCGCATGATGGCTGAGAGAAAGAGCAGCGTTGTGTGGAGCAATTTCACAACTGGCCATTAAAACTTAGCGAACTGTGATGTGTGCAAGAAGACAGTTCGCTACTTTGGCCACTTTGTATTGTTATTTTTCATGTTTGCACTTTAAATTTGCAAAAGTAAAACGTGTATTTGTCTATAAAAACTGTCCTGTCTTTATTCATGAAAATGAATTCAGATTTAGTCTATTTATGATGATTTCAGTTCAAAAATCATGCCATGCAGCTCTCCCCTATATGAAAGTACATAAGACGCTTTTCATTAAAAAAAGTATCGGTATCGATATCGGTATCGGCGATACTGGCCCTGAAATACTTGGTATCGGATCGAATCCAGATTTTGTGGTATCGCCCACCCCTAGTGACCACCAACTCGCGGCCCGCGGGCCACATCCGGCCCGCCAGACATTCTCATCCGGCCCGCACGACGGGGGTGACTGCGGCGTGGTTACTGCGTTCGCAGTAACCACTGTGTGCAGTACCGGAGTCCAACAGAGAGGCAGCAGCTGCGGGACAGTAGACTGCATACTGCAAAACCTTCCCTGCCTTGAAGAAGAAGTGATCCTTCGTTGTGAAGAGTCTGGTTTGTGCGCTCCGCACCACAGCAGTAGCCCCGCTGCGACAGAGTCCAACAGAGAGGCAGGAGCTGCGCTGCGGGACAGTAGCCTAGAAGCAGGGTTGGGTTGTAACGGAATACATGTAACGGCGTTACGTAATCAGAATACAAAAATCAAGTAGGCTAACTGTATTCAGCTGGCGTTACATTTGAAAAACGAGTAATCTGATTACAGTTACTTTCGTAAACCTGAAATGAATACATTTTGGAATACTTATTGGAATGATTGGTGGAAACATTTCCTCACAAAATGTAATATTCATTACCGGCAGAGCTGTGTGCACACTGCACAGCGCTGCAGCATGTCTGTGAGCGAGAGAGAGATGCAGCGCGTCTGTGAGGCCCCGCCCCCGCACGCAGATTAGAGAGAGAGATCTCTTTTAAAATATATTGAAAGTTAGAAACGGAGATGGTTAGATAAAATGTGCAAGATAACGTTTATGTAGCATTTCTTTATTGTCGAAATGATGACATTTCATAACGGGATGAAATCAAAGTGAATGGCCTGCTGCTGCTGAATGCCTGGGGCAAGTGACTGGAAAAAGTTTTAAAAGTTATAACATCGTTTCAGATAATACATAATAATGATAATTCATTCTATTTAGGGGCGTCTTTCAAAGCACCCAAGGACACCTTACAATTCATAACATATTCTAAGGAAAGGTTTTAAGACAGTACAAATAATGCAGTCCAGGTGATCCCTGCTGTAGCTTATGCAATTTAGGCCTATACATTGTTTATGTAACTTATGTGCCAGTGTGTCCATGGTTTTGAGTCTGTGTGTGTGTTGAGCGCAGCGACGTCTGCTTTTTGCAGTACAGTAACTAAAGTAGGACTAAGCATGGTAGTTTTTGTGGACCTGTCTGCCCGTTTTGTGAGTGCACTGCGCGCGTGCGCACTTGTGTGGCATTTTTGGGATGACCTGATTAAAATAAAGTCCCCCCAGTAAAAAAAATCCCCACTACACCACTGCCAGGCAGGATTCGCATACTGCTTTTATCTGTGCTGGTCATAACTCATTATGAACCCAGAGCCACATGAGGGACAATCTCTCACACAATTGTTACTCATGTTTACTCTGCAATTGAAGTGTCTCTTGTGCTTCAGTAACGGTGTGCTGAAGAAAAGAGGGGAGCAGATTGTCGGGCCTCCTTCCTATTTATACCGGAAGGGTGGGGCCCACCTTGCGGGTGGGCGTGGACTACAAGTGTTTCAGTGCTGCGCGGGTGCGCAGGGGGATTACCCAATAGCGATAGCCTTAGAGGGCGAAGCCATATACGAAATAGAACCGTCGTAAACTAAACCAGAAACAGCAGTATATTTTATGTTGTTAACACTCTAAACTTGACAGCTTTTTAACCCGCACCTCCTACTGGTTAAAGCACGTTATTACACGTTTAGAGTAATCTTGAAATCTTGAAAAGGGATGTACAAAAGGAGCAATTATATACAGTTTTTAATTAACTATTTGTAGAGAATAACGAGTAATGAATATACTTTATAGGGATCTGCAGATAAATATTTAGTCTTCTCAAGCACCAACAATCATTACATTACATTACATTTAGCTGACGCTTTTATCCAAAGCGACTTACAATAAGTGCGTTCGACCAACAAAATACAAACTTGAAGAAAACAGAATCATATAAGTACATCAGGTTTCATAGAGCCAAAAAATTTCAAGTGCTACTCAACTGGCTTTAGATAAGCCAGTCCTCCAATCAAATATCTCTCCTGATTGTTGGCACTTGACAATCACCTTCCCTGAATTTTACTCAGGTGTAACTAAAGTCTGCTTTAAGCATTGTTTATATTTCACATCATTAATCAGAATCTGTAAAGTAACTAAAATAAATGTAGTGGAGTAAAAATACCAGGTTAACCTTAAAGAAAGCCCTCAGGATTATAAAAGACCCCCATCACCCCAGCCACAAACTGTTCTGTCTGCTGCCGTTCGATTCCTGTTTTGAATAGTGTGCCGTCGATGGGTTTCATTCCATTTCATAATGCTGTTTGACGCTCGGCGTAAACTTCGCACACTGCCACTCCAACATCACCAATCACAGAGCTTGAGGACAAATCACCGGGTTTGTCTAGCAAAGCACATGGTGTAGTCCCAACGATAGCTGAGGATTCTGGGTAGTGTAGTGTCTTCGGCCATCCTAAACTGAACAAATATTTGTTTCTCCGGATCAAAGGGGAAAATTACAAAAGCATTGTACACAATTTAAACCAATCAATGTTGTGTAATCACCAAGGATAATCTGGTGTTTTTGAGTTGATGATTTCCTGTAAAATCAATCGACAGTAAAGAGAATACTTACTTCCGGGTGTAAAATCCTCCGTTATCCAATGGGAATGGACGCTCACATTGCTCTCTGTAATACAATAAAGGGGACATGATCAAATCGGAATATAATGTTCTTTTAAAAAACATTAACTAAAGGGAACAATCTATTTGACACAGCTGAAGCTCTGGCCTTCCTTAAAATCTTCCCCTCTATCTCTCAATTTAACACCCTCTCTGGAATAAAGGCATTCTGGCCCAAAAAAAATCATTTAAAAAAAGAAATTTGATTACTTTTTAACATTATACTCAAAGGGCCAGTAAATATCACCCCGGGCCGGATTTGGCCCGTGGGCCGCCAATTGAATAGCCCTGCTGTAATGTATCTGAAACAGCAGGATGTCAGGAGTCGTTAGCTTCCCACGACATCGCCCTGTGGCCAAAAGCAGTTCAATTTAGCCGTGTTTACTGAGATGCATGTTGAAAGCATAGATTAGAAGGTTAAAACACTTCGGTTTTTAAAAAGCTGTTGCTAATACTTAGTATTAAAACGTTATTTAATTATATTGCAAAACATAATTTATTGTTGTAATTGTAGCTTAATATTCAATGTTTTTTAGAGGAAAGTCACCCAAATGTCATCATGGATGAAGTTTTCAGTTATATTTTGTAAGGTACAGTTTTTTTTAAGACCAAATCTTTCTTGTGGTATCTGACATTAAAGGCCACTTGAACATGTTTTGATGTTTATTTCTCCAGGCTGGCTGCAGCACCATGTCCTCCGCTGAAAGTGGGGATCTATCAGGCTACCATCTGAGCGGTGAGTAGTTTCAGCTTATTTGTTTCTTTCTGCATTGTGTCCTTGTGTGGGTTAATGCATATTGTTTGATCCACATTGTTGTAAATCAGTGAACGTGTGTATCAGACTAGAGAGACGAGGCTGTGTGTACCTTAGCTTCTGCTCTCAGGTTGCTTTACAGCTTTTTTAAACAAGCTGCACAACTCCTCTGACCTGGTCTCCTGCTGAAAGCCAGCAAAGACACATTTTAACTTGTCCTATAATTGGCTTATGTCTTGTGTTAAAAAGCAGAGATAAAGCTGTCAGTCTCCTCTCACAGAAGCAATTTATTTTAAGTCAGCTCGACACAGGCTCGCAATCTTTCTCTTAAACGCATCATGATGCTCTGACGTTTAATTCAGAGAGACTTTTCAATTTGTCACCTTCTCCCGAACTATTACATCAAACGTCATGCATCCCTTAAACTCCTCCAGTCATCTCAATGCTCAGTGTAAAATAACAAGACTTGACTGTGCTCAGTGATTGTGAGTTTTCAGTGCTGTAGAAGTATTGATATCCTTTGTTTGAGTAAAAGTACAGCTAGGTTAATGTTAACATGTTCCATTATAAGTAGAAGTCCTACATCCAAAATCTAACTTAATTAAGAGTGTTTAAAGTGTAAACATTTAAAAGTACTCATTCTGCAGAAAAGAAAACCCTCCATATGTGAATAAAACAAGGTATAGATGACATTATAAGATTATCAAGTATAATTTTACCGTTGCAGACAACATTTGTTTCACAAATTATTCATGTTTAGGACATTCTTTATTAACTTTTTGTGATATATATCAGAGTTTAACTTTTTTTCTAACTCAAACAGTTATTCCACTGGTTTGATGGATGCATTATGTTAAAAGTTTATCACGTCTGCTAAATATAGCAGAGGAAAAATACACAATTTCCCTTTGAAGTGAAGTACAGTAGAAGTATAAAGGAGCATACAATGGAAATACTCATGTAAACTACACATATTTAAAAAGTGTAAGTACTATAGTTGAGTAAATGTACTTACAAATGTACTATTTTCCACCACTGTTTTGAGTTTGTGAAGACTCCTACTTGTGTCGTTAAATAAAAAGTTTCTTCCAACTTTCTACACTGCGTTTCTCCCAACTGTCAACCAGTGATCAAACTCCCCCATCAAATATTTAGTTATGGGGCCAAACATGATCTTTTATTGATAAAATGGTAATAATGATCAATTATTTTGTGTTTTTGTTTCAGTGGTGCGTCACCCGCACGGCTGGGAGCTAGGGATCTACCTGGTGGGCTTCTTGGTGCTGCTGTGCGTTGCCGGGATCAACATCTGGAAGTTGTGGAAATCTGGAACCTTCCCTGCTCCGTCCCCTTTCCCCAACTTTGACTATCGATACCTGCAAGAAAAATATGGAACGTCCTTCTCAGAAGTCAGACAAAAGGTGCATTTACAATCATGCTAGTCTGAGTTATATTTAAAGGTCACCTATTGTGCAAAATCCACTTCTTCATGTCTTTTATACATCAACATGTGTCCCCTCTGTGTAAAGAGATTCTGGAAGTTTCAAGAAAAAAGATTCGCTCCCTTTTTGTCCTGATCCATTTCTATAAAAACCTGTCTGAAAATGAGCTGATCAGATTTTGGCCACTTTCTGATGTCATAGCGATGTTTTGTGTAACCATTAGCCAATCACCAACTAAGGTAACACCCCCCCCCCCCCCCCACCTTATCACCTGAATCTCCTCCTAGAGCACCATTGTGTTCTTGTTAACCAAATATCTCTCAGAGGGGCGTGGGGAGTGGCTCCTTATTTTCATCTAAAGTAACAGACAGAGAATCAGCACTTTTGAAACAGGGCGGAAACATTACATTTAGCTAACGCTTTTATCCAAAGCGACTTACAATAAGTGCATTCGACCAAGAACATACAAACTAGAAGAAAACAGAATCATACAAGTACATTAGATTTCATAGAGCCAAACCATTTTAAGTGCTACTCAACTAGCTTTAGATAAGCCAGTCCTTATAAGTGCTTTGTTAGTATATGAGTGCTTAGTTAGTATATAAGTGCTTTATTTTTGTATTGCTCGAAGTGGAGTCGAAAGAGATGAGTTTTCAGTCTGTGCCGGAAGGTATGTAAGCTTTCTGCTGTCCTGATGTCAATGGGGAGCTCATTCCACCATTTTGGAGCCAGGATAGCAAACCCACGTGTTTTTGCTGATGGGAACTTGGGTCCCCCTTGCAGTGCGGGTGCAGCGAGCCGTTTGGCTGATGCAGAGCGGAGTGCACGCGCTGGGGTGTACGGTTTAACCATGTCCTGGATGTAGGAAGGGCCAGAACCATTCGCAGCATGGTACTAGTGTCTTGAAGTGGATTCTAGCAGTTACTGGAAGCCAGTGAAGGGAGCGGAGGAGCGGCGTGGTGTGGGAGAATTTAGGAGCTGCAGAGGTCGGATGGCACATGCAGGTAGACCAGCCAGGAGGGAGTTGCAGTAGTCTAGGCGTGAGATGACGAGAGCCTGGACTAGAACCTGCCTCGCTTTCTGGGTCAGGAAGAAAAGAGTGTACCTGATGTTGTAAAGAGTGTATCTGCAGCAGCGGGTTGTTGCAGCGATGTTTGCAGTGAAGGACAGGTTGTTATCTAGGGTCACACCCAGATTCCTTGAAGTCTGAGTCGGGGAAACAAAAGAGAGGCCGATGTTGATTGTTAGGTCAAGAGTGGGACAATCTTTTCCCGGAAGACAAAGCAGTTCAGTCTTGTCAAGGTTGAGCTTGAGGTGGTGATCAGACATCCACTGACAGATGTCTGCTAGACAGGCAGAGATGCGTGCGACGACCTGGGTCTCTGAGCGGGGAAAGGACAGAATTAATTGGGTGTCGTCAGCGTAGCAGTGGTATGAAAAACCATGCGAGCTAATGACAGATCCGAGCGAGTTTGTGTACAGAGAGAAAAGGAGGGGACCGAGGACAGATCCCTGAGGGACTCCTGTAGATAATTGACAAGGGTCGGACTCGGACCCTCTCCAAGTTACCCTGTAGGTACGGTCTTTGAGGTAGGAGGTGAGGAGGTAAAGTGCAGAGCCTGAAACTCCAAGTTCTTGGAGAGTGTGAAGGAGGTGAGGATGGTTCACCGTGGCTGCTTTAGTAGTGTGCAGTTCAGGGGATTATGGGATGCTGCAATGATCTGTTTGGTATTTTGAGCCAAACACTTCAGAGACATGTTTTGTATATATCTGAGACCTATAATATATTTATGAAAAACAGTATAATAGGAGAACTTTAACACTTTCCCAGAAGGCAGGGAGGAAGTGGGAGTGAAACATCTACCTGTTTCCCTTCTTGGAGCAAGTGATGAGCAATCAGGTTGCTGAAAGGGTCAAGATATTGCAGGTTTTTAAGTGAAGTGAAATCTGCAGCTGATTGTAAAGTAATTATGTGTGTGGGTAAAGAATATTTGAAATGAACGTGACAGTTATTATTAGGGAGAGAATAAGGTTGAATCGACAACTAAATCAGAATTTTTAGAAAACATGCCACATCAGAATCAGAGTCAGAATCAGAAACAGGTTTATTACCAGATAGGTTGACACATACGAGGAATTTGACTTGGTGCATACATAAAAGTAAAACAAAATTTAAAACACAGATAGAGGACTTGAAAAATATTAAAAATAATAAAATATATAGTAAAATATAGCAGTATTTACATAGAAATGGAATGGAATAAAATATGGAATACAAATCTGCAGTAATACAACAAAAAAAAAAACAGATATTGTTGTACATTGTGTGCATTAATGTAATGCATAGAGTCTATGATGTGGTGAGGTATCAGTGGGGGGTCCGGGCCTTGTCAATGAGGCCGGTAGCGGAGGGGAAGAAACTGTTCAGGTGGCGAGAGGTTTTGGTCCTGATAAACATAAAAAACATCTCATGCTTTTAGATAAATCAATTTCTGACTTCTTCATCCCTTACTTTTCTCCTTTTCTGAAGCGAGTGGCTGCCAACAACCACCGGCGGACCTCCACCACCTCCAGCCGCAAACCCAGCCTGGCGTTTGGGGAGACGCCGGACGTCCTGAGGGACCTGGGCCAGCTGGAGCTGATGAGCCGCGAGCTGGACCCCTCCGGCCTGGCCCAGCTGAATCGCTCCATCTCCACCGACTCGCTCAGCTCCATCTCCTCCATCGCCAACAACTTCGGCCACGACTTCACCGTGGGCCAGCTGGAGGTGACGCTGGAGTTTGAGCCGTCCAGGCCGCCGGGCCAGGGGGCGGGGCTTCTGCACGTCACCCTGCACCAGGGCAAAGACCTGCTGGAGAGGGAGGAGGGAGACTTCCCTGGCTGCTTCATCAGAGTCTCCCTGGGACCAGATGAGATCAACCTGGGAGTCACAAGGGTGAGGAGGCTGTGGGCTTTTGGGTCGAATGTGTTTGTAGCAGCCAAAATGCTGTGGTAGCCTGTGTTTATAGTTATAATATCTTCATTATTTGTTAACACCACAGACACTTGTAATGGGTTGTTTCCGGTAATTGTCACATGGGTGTGGTTAATGGTATTTAGGACACCTGTATTACCTCATTCACACCAACGGTGTTTCAGGGCCGGTTCGGAGCTGGAGCTTCAAAAGCACCGGGTTTTCCTGTTCACACAGCAGCGGAGCAGCCTCTTAGCTCCGGAATCCGGTTCATTTCGAGCACCAACAAATTGTTCGGCCAGAGCAAAAGCACCACATACGTCACGCTTACGTCGAGGCGGGGGCAGGGGCAGGGGCGGGATCAACTCCAGAACAACAACAAAAAGCCGGCGTTGTATCCAGTTTGTACACAACGATGGAGAAACTTAACAAGCAGCAGTGGTCCACTAAAGAGACCAGCTACCTACTGGGAATCTGGTCTTCCGAAGAGGTACAGAGGAAGCTGGAGCACAATCGGCCATTGTTGTTGTTGTCGGTGTGAGTTGTGAGGGGTTTCCGCACGCTTTGGCTTTATGAAGCAGGCACGCAAACGGTTACGTCATGACGCAAACGATGACGCAATGACGCAGCACCAGTCGGACTCTGGGCAGTGTGAAAAGAGCCGGAGCTAAACCGAAGAACCGGTTCTGAACCTGAAAAGCTCTAGCACGGAGCTTGAACCGGAGTTGCGTTGGTGTGAATGAGGTAACAGTAGAGGTTTGGTAGCATGACAATGGGGGTGAAGTTAGATCTGATATCTTTTGTTGACCGTATGATTCTGTTTGTTTATTGTTTTGATTTACAATATTAAATATACTTAAAATGTCGAGTTCAGTACAGACTTTATTATTTATACTTGTCACAACAATGAGTGAAGTTTAGCCTCAGAGGCCGTATTCAATGGGAATATAGCCGCCACAGTACTGGAATGAAAAGGAGAACCACTGAACTGGCATTGTTTGGTTTTTTTTCATTATGTAAAGGCTTTGAGCATGGAAATAGTAGTTTACACACAATTAGTGGACCAGTATCGTCTTCTAAAAGGCTGATCCCATACAACGAAATTACATTTTGTGGGGAATGTATTTACTTAAATAAACACTGTACTTTCAGCCAGGAGACAGTGTATCGCTATAGTGGGAAGCCAAAAGTCAATGTTCAGTGATTTGGATACACACAAATGGTGTTGGATATTAATACCAAACTTCATGGTTATCCATCTATTACATGTACAGATCTTTCAATATGGACCAAAGTAGTGGAGAACACCATCCATACGCTATCCTCGCTAAAAGGGACTTGGGAAATCAATCTAAAACTCAAATATTTAACTTTCACAGTGAAAACACAAGAGGAGAAACAACTAAAATCATCCCTTCAGCACTACAGTGTATTAGAGAATGTGAATTGATTTGCAAACATGGCTTTTATTATGTGAATGAAAGATTTAGTGTTTCAAATGTCATCATTAAATAATTAAACAATAAATGAAGTTCCTTATTAGTGATGTTCAACATGATGAGAGATTCAGGCCTGAGGGGAAAACATATTCTCAGATGGTTAACCAGCAGTTAGACCATGAAGACTGAATCTGGAGAAAGGACTGAAGATTGAAAAGTGTCCTCTGACGCTCTTACTGTATGCTTGAGGGGCAGCTTTGACTGCTTGAACTGTTTTGAAGACGTTAGCTCGGCTGCTTTTTAGGCAGTGATCCATCCCTCTGGATTTCAGTTGTGATCCTCCGGTCTGACGGTGAGCCCACTTCATTTGTTTGAGTGGAGAGACCCCTGGGAGCGGGATGTCGTCAGAGAGACTGTTTTCTCATCAGGAGGAGATGTGATTGATTTTAGAGTCACCTGTCACCTGTAACCTGCGTTAAACTGCAGTTTAGATTACAATGATATCTATAATACATGGTCTACTGTCACATAAAGATCCTTGGTTTTTGATTTGTTCTTACTTAACTTAGCTCTAAATGTTTTAAAATGATGCTGCTAGTCACAACACCATGCTTTCTGTATGGAAACCCAATATGTAGCATAATTAGGTAAAACATCTAACAAAAAATACTTGCAGTAAATGACTCTTACTACTTATATTGAATCACTCATTTCAACACATTTAATTTTTACAATGTATTTTATGATTAAATAATTATTTAACTGCCTTTGTTCTTTAATTTCAGCCGTTAAATTGATCTTTTCTTAAAATGTTATGAACAATTTGTAATTCATTGTACTGCATCAGTTAGATTTGTGTCTTTTCTGCAGCATTTTCTAACTTAATGCCATATTTACGCTACGAATACAGCATTTTACAATTGTATATGAGCTATAACATCTTAAATGTCACATACTATCATGAACTAAAAAGTGGGAGATTTTAAGTCAAGAACTGTCTTGGTGATTTTTGCCTTCAAAAGCAGTTACACTTTAACCACAAGGATGGTTTACAATAACCATGAGTATTCCTCTTCTAATAATGCACCGTTTCTAACGATGATTCTTTGATCTCTGGTGGCTACTTCTCTTGGTATTCTCCACTGAAACATGTTCATAAAAAGCTTGAATCTGACATTAGGTGACCTTCTCTCAGGAACAGAGAGCTCACAGTCCTCCATCTGCTCCACCTGCCACTCGCCTGCTGCTCTTAGTGAGACGCCGCCAGAAAATGCTCTAATTCCTGCCTCGCTGCGAGTCCTCTTCATCGTGTGAATGTTGTCGTTTACCGGCCGACAGCACACAGGCAGCAGGAGAGGACTCTTTAAAGTAGAGACACTAAATACCGATATACACCTGAACATCAGCAGGAGAGGACTCTTTAAAGTAGAGACACTAAATACCGATATACACCTGAACATCAGCAGGAGAGGACTCTTTAAAGTAGAGACACTAAATACCGATATACACCTGAACATCAGCAGGAGAGGACTCTTTAAAGTAGAGTTTCTGCAGGAAATGCATGTAGAGTTTGAATGTTAAAGCTTTATACTTTCTCAGTGAGACGTAGCTCTGGAGCATGTTGGGATGTCGTATTAATGCTTCCAGGCGGGGTGTAATAATATTGGAAGCAGCGCCTTTTGTGGCTCCCTCTTTAATATGTCGACGAGTGGGGAAGACCAAAGAAATGCTGACATCAGCTTATCTCACCCTAATGGTCAAGCCAGCCTCTCTCTCTCTCTCTCTCTCTCTCTCTCTCTCTCTCTCTCTCTCTCTCTCTCTCTCTCTCTCTCTCTCTCTCTTTGTTGTCACTGTGTTTGTTTGCTCTTCACCCTCTTTATCACTACCTCTTTCTTCCCATTAATTAGCTTTCACTGCTACTTGCCTTTTGTTTTGCCTGTGATAATGTGGATGCCACTCTCCCTTCATTCTCCCTTCCTCTGTCTACATGAGCCCCCACACACACACACACACACACACACACACACACACACACACACACACACACACACACACTAGTCTCTGTCTGAGATTGTATTGCCTCATTTTCACCCAGCACATCACCATTCTTATCCCCCCTGAGCGATAAACAGTGCAGACAGACATATTGTGGATGGACAGCATGTATGTACGCTGCGCGCTCAGAGCCTTCTTCCGATGCTTTATATCTCAGCGTACATATTTGTACAGCAGCATTAGCTTTTCTAGTATTCTGAAGGTGTTGCATGTACGATTATGGTGCTATTCATCTTTTTGTTATGAGGCGCAATTCAAGATCGGCCTCTCGGGCTGATCTGCACCCTGCGCTCTGAATTCACAATCATTTTATTGTATAAGGAGGTCTATTTTTATCAAAAACAACTCACACATCCAGCTTTTATTTTCTCTCTCTGTATTTCACTATATTTGTTTTAAAGTATAGTTTTTAGCAAACATTTTCCTCTTTGTATTTGACACTTCGAGAACAACCATGGTGTGAAAAATAGCTATTATTAAAGCCACTCTCCTCTACACGTTTACTTGTTGCCTGGTTACTTCCGACCCTCCATTCAGAGTCGCTTTAAAATAAGAAGCCCTGAAAACAGCCTTAGCATCACATCCAATGCTCATTCACTAACCTAAAGTAGACATGGTGTACCCTGCTGGCCTTAAACATGTCTTATTGATTTTAAGAAAAAGTTGTAGCTTGGCTGCTAAGAAATGAAATGGAATTGTACAAAATATTCAGTTTCCACATGGTTTTGAAGCTGTAAAACTAGAAAACAACACAAATGTTGTCTTCAATTCAGTCTGTACGCTTCTCCATGTTTGTGATTGGTCAAATGTTGCCCTTTTATGTGAACGCGCACATAACTAGGGCAGGGGTACTCAAACTTTTTTGTTAAAGGTCCACTTGTGAATTTTATACAAGGTCAATGGTCCGGATCAATAGCCGCTTTCACACCGCAGGACTTGCCGTACTTTAGTGCCGGCACTAAAGTACCACGGCACTGAATCCGCCATGGGGCTAGTGCCAATCGCATTCACACCGCAGTACTTTCCCTTAAAGAGCACCTTCGGGAGAGAGCATTGCAAAACTGGCCCCGGTAATGGTACAAATCTCAACCTGTCGTACAATGGACAGCTTCCCCCCCCCCCCCCCCCATCTATGTATATACTCGCATTTTAGACTCTGTTACTAACTGTATATCTGTAGACTTGGTATGTCTTAAATGTCCGTTTAGGATGTATTAGAACGAAATCTAAAATGAAAATTGTAAATAAGCAATCTGTATGTAAAAAACCACCTGTATGTAAATTGTAAATGAGCCATCTGTATGTCAAATATGTCTTATATGTCTTAAATAATATGATGAATTGGAAATGGGGGACCCTGATGTAAACAAGACGAAAGTCTTTCTCTGGTCTGCATCCCCTTAACAATTGTATGTTTTGTACTGTACTGTACCCAATATACAAGCTGTTAATAAACTTTTCAATCAATCAATCAATCCCTGAGGCAAGATTACGCTGACGTCACTTCGTCTTCTTCTTCTCTGGGTTTACTGGCAGGCCGCAAAACCACTTCACAGCGAGTACAAAAAAAAACGAGAGAAGAAGAACTACACGGGGGAGGGGGTATAAAGCCCACCCGCTGTATGAGGCGTTTGTTTACTTTCCGACCTCAGACATGATGGAGTTCATAAGGGTAATTTACAAATAAAATACCCCATTATAACAATGGACTTTATCTGTATGTATTTATTATATATTACCTCCTCAGGTTGATTTTGGAAAAAGACATTAACCCTTGTTTGGTGTTTTTCCCTTATTTATCTAAAACAAATGAATGACATGATAAATGACTTGTGTTTATGTGTGTAAGACTTGTGTTTCTGCCCCTGCCATTGCTGCACAAGGTTGCAACATTGTAGATACATTCAACCACCGACACCTGTCTGCTCTCACATTCTTCTATTCTGCAAATTTGGGGTGGGACACAATAAATAAAGCTTCGCCAGTTTGTTTGTTTTATTGCACAGTCAAGACATAACAATAACGGCATCACGCTGTTCCAGGTGTGTCGTATGCATGTAAATTGAAGTTAAATAAAAGTGTGAAATGTAAAATAAAGTGTAAGTAGTTTCAAAACAATGTAACAGTGGCAATATATATAGCAGCAGACACACCTTAGTGCAAGTTAGGTGTCAGTATTAAAAAAACAGTGGCAATATATATATATATATATATATATATATATATATAATAACAATAGAAAATCGTTACCACTCTTATTATTGTGGTCTTTAATTTTGTTATAGTCCTGCCTGAGTTTCTTTATTTTTACTCGGCATCCGTGTGCACTGTGCACGATTCCCAGCTCAAGTAGCTTTTGCGAACATCGCTCAAAACATTTGGAGTTGGGAACTGCTTTCTGTAGAAGCTGCTGCATCCCGTCCTCAGAGTAAATTGCCAGAAGCGCCGACACTTCCTCATCATTCCACCGCTCCGGTGTTGTAGTACGTGTGGTCATAACTGCTTTAAAGTACAAAAAAACTACTCGCTCAGGTGTGGATGTGGTTTTGTAGCGAGGAAAAAAATGGCTGCCTAACAAAGAAAATTCAGAGTCTAACGGGGCGTGGTTTGCAATTCGCCCAGCCAATAGAAATAGAATAGAAATTGGCACTCTTTTATCACCAGGTTCGTACCACCTCTCTAGCAGGGACTAGATAGCCGCATTCACACCGCAGTAAAGTCGCCCCCCCCCCACCCCCAGACATATTCAGACATGTTTTGTATAGGTATGGCCCTACAATATATTTTTCCAATATAGCACAATAGGTCCACTTTAATTTACATCAGAATCAGAATTGTTTTTTATTTTTTGAATTTTTTGAATTTATAATGGGACACAGGGTTTGGTCCGGATCCGGAGTTTGAGAAGCCCTGAAATAGAGCAAAGCTGACTTGAGTTAACGAGTTGATAACCCGCGTCGTGGGACCGCTTAGCGAGAGCGCGTTTGTTTTGGATTAGGTAAACCGGGTAACCCAAACATATCCAAGTTATGTTGAACCGGCTTCGTAGTACAGGCCTCTTGCTAGCCGTTCAGCATAAGTTACCATGGAGATCTAGACCGCTAAGAAGTGAACCAGCGTCGTAGGACCGGAAACCCAGAGTTTTCTCTGAAGTTAGCTCGCTTTGCGAAAAATCCAGCTTCGTAGTACAGGCCTCAGGCTTGCCTCTTTGTCCACAAAGTAATCACAGGTGCAACAAAAGCATCAACAGATTGTTTTATAAACAGTTCTGTTCAAATAAAAAAATGGTGTATACAATTAAATTGGTGTTGCTGACAGCATTACAAATTGTTTTTTTTTTAAAAAGAAAAATAAATTATGCAAAATGACATTACTGAGATACCGCCAGTAGCTTTATGGGTTTATTTTGGCCTCCTTCGTATTAAGGGTGAGAACACACAGGGTGAAGGGGGAAATAACCCCTTTAAAAGTACTAATAGATATAAAAGTTTGCTTTAAAGTCGGAAGTGAAGTGAGTCAGGTAGAGGATGAGAGAATAACAGATTTTAATGCCTACACAACATCTTCTTTTGTTAAGTTAAATTATTGCCTGATTCTTGTCATTCATCTTAAACAGTGATTTATGTGCAAGAGTTTTAATTACATCTGTGTTGATTTGTGATACTAATTAAGTAGCAATCAACTTACTGAAACTCAGATGACCCCCCTTTAATAGTCAAATATCTGGGAGGTGAATCTAACAAGTAATAAATATATACATTCTAACATTTGAATCATTTTTTGCCTCTCACAGATCCAGGCGAATGCATACACAGTGCTTTTTGACGAGCACTTCTCCATCCCCATGGACTCGTCCCTGCTGGAGGAGTACAGTCTGCGTTGTGCCGCCTTCGGTATCGATGCTGAGGAGAGAAACATCAGTGCGGGGGTGGCAGATCTCAAACTGTCCGACCTGGACCTGACCATCAGACCGTTCAACGCCTGGCTCTACCTTCAGGATGTCAACAAGGTGAATTTAAAACAAATGGCATTAGTATGATGGTACCATTTACTTGTATAGATACTTCTTGCACTATTTCTATTTTAATTGTATTTACTTGCACTATTTTATCTGTTTTATTTGTTCTATGTCATATATGTTGCACTGTTGGAGGAGCCTGTGACCTAAGTTGTTCATTGCCATATCTACACTGTAGCTAATGTACACATTTCCATAAAGCCTTGAATTGAATGAAATGATTACAGATCATCTAATTGTGTCTATATTCCAGTATGACATGTTCTGCTTTTACAACAAAAATAGCTTTGAGGTGTGTGAGAGCCCCATGCTGGACATTCAGCAAAACTACAAGTTAAATGCAATAAATAAGAAGCTAAGCTGTATCCCAAACAGAACTGATCTACCAGTTCACTCTCTCTGTTGTATAATGAGATCAATCGACTGCAAACAACCTTGCAGGATCATTTAAGTCCTTTCAAAGACTTCATCAACCTCATTAACAAAATGACTTTTTCACTCACGTTATTTAAATCAGGAACAGTATCCTAGGCTGAGGTGCCTGCAGTGTGGCAAGGGAAATATTAAAGTTCTGTAACATGTTTAATTATCATAAATACTACATTAAGCAATTTTGAAAAGCTATTAAACCTTGCTTCATTACAACTGCATTGAGATAATGCGCAATAAAACAATTCAACAGGTAATACGGATCATTAAAATAAGCACATTTCAATACATTTCCTAACAATTACATTGTAGATTAAAAAAAATACATAGATAACTAAATTAACATACACATGAAATGTTATATAATCTCTGCCATGCTCTTGTGACTCGCAGGCTGTGGATGCCGTCGGGGAGATCCTGTTGTCTCTCAGTTATCTGCCGACAGCAGAGCGCCTCACGGTGGTCGTGGCAAAGTGCAAAAACCTGCAGTGGACCAACAGCAAGAACACTGCAGGTTTGCCGGTTTTCTGTGTGTGATTTTGCCCTTTTTTGTAAATATGGGTGAATGGGAACTACCTGAGTAATGGTTACACTTTGTATGAACTATAAATAAATCTGTCTGTCTTTAAATACATTTTTTAAACCACTCATAACCTTTGATTAATAACATCGAACACACATTCAGTAGTAACATACACTTAATGTAATCTCCCAGAGGATACAGTTATTTATATCCAGACAGGCAGATGGGACTTAAATGACGTGTTTATCACATTAAATGTCCAGATTAGTGCCACATTAACATTTTACAGATAAAGGTCACCCACATTATCATCTCCAGAGCTAATTGTGTCAACAACACTCCGCTTCTAATTGATTGTTCTTTAATGAGCAGTGTTTTATATGCTATACACACAGTGTGCGGGGTATTTATGTGTGTGTGTGTGTGTGTGTGTGTGTGTGTGTGTGTGTGTGTGTGTGTGTGTGTGTGTGTGTGTGTGTGTGTGTCAGGGTTTCCGTTAGCCGGTAATTACCGGTTTTTAGCTGGTACAATTTAATAAAAACCGGTAAATTCAAAACCTGCCGGTCAAAATGTCCGATGCTCCGATCGATCGGCCGCCGATCATTATCGGCCGCCGATCATTATCGGCCGATATTCACTCTTAATAGTTTGATCGCTGCTCTCTATAAAGGCCGACCAGGAGAGCTGGATCTGATCGATATGGACATAAACGAGAGTGAAGTGTAACCGGACCGAAGAGAGAGATCAGATCAGCTGCTGCATAATCACCTGAAGCTCCGCCCACTGTTTAGCGCGCTGCATGAGAAACTGACGAGCTGTCAGGAGAGAGAGAGAGGGAGAGAGGAAAAGAGAGCATCCGTTTCTCCCGTGTTATTATTCAAAGTTAATTTAAACTTTTGAATAATGTACTTCATCTACTACAAGTAGTTTATTTGAATGTAATAATTATGTTGTTTGCGGAATCATTTATTGAAAAATTAATCTGAATTTTTCCGATCTGTTACGATTATAAACTGAAGCAATATAAAAACGATCCCCATTAACTGAGTTTTAAACATCAGCATATCCGGTCCTAATCCGTAATTACCTGCTAACGGAAACTCTGCTACACAATTCTTATTATTATTATTGAAACATGACCGGTAAGTTTCAAATTTGTCCGGTAAAATTAATTCTGTCCGGACATTTGACCGGCGAGTAAAAATCCTAGCGGAAACCCTGGTGTGTGTGTGTGGGTTTTAGAAGCTTTAAATGCACTCCTAATCATATTTGTGCACTCTCGTTATCAGATCCGTTTGTCAAAGTGTATCTCCTGCAAGACGGCAGGAAGATCAGTAAGAAGAAGACCTCCACCAAACGGGATGACACAAACCCAATCTTCAACGAAGCCATGATCTTCTCTGTGCCCTCCCTCGTCCTGCAGGTGATATTATATTCCATTACATGTTACTTGTTAGACACTTTTATCCAAAGCGACTTACATACTCAATACTGTGGGCAATCCCCACAGGAGCACTTTGGGGTGAAGTGTCTCAGGGACACAACGACATGCTGACTGCAGTGGGGTTTGAACCTGTACCCCTGTACCCCTGAACCGAATACCTACGCACAAATTCTGAACACCAACGCACTAATCCACTGCGTCACACGCCTCATATTACACCATGATTACATTTTATTAATCTACAAGAGGAATTCAGGTCATGGAAAAAGATAAACATGTGATAACAAGAACAGAATAAGAAACCAGCAATGAAAATAGATATCTCAAAACAGTTGTTCAATTATTAAAGAAAAAAGCATGAACCGTTGTTTGGTTACAATACAGGTAACAAAAAGCCAAAAACAAGAGAGAAAAAGTTATCCCAAAAGAGGTATTTGTAAAAAAGGACATACCTGAAATAAGGACATAGAAATACAACATTATAGATCGGTATATTTTTGTGTCATTGTGCTCAAAACTTAAGCAATGTGAAACATAATCTTATATACTATAATAATAACTGTGTGCATCTGGACCCGGTGACGACATTACCTATTGACGCAGCAACCACTGTAAGTTATATTCTTGTTTAATTAGACTTCTCTGTTTCATTTATTCGACTCTGTATAAATTGTTATTGTAGCTTTAACGGCTAAATCGCGTTTGAGAGATTTTAAATCTCAGATCTGCTCAGGCGAAACCTGCTACACAGGTCTCAGTACTCAAGCCTGCATTAATATAGGCACGGCCAGTCTATTGATAGCGTGAAGTACAACCGCGTGAAAGACTCGCTCTGTCCTCTCACATCTCGGCAGGCTCGTCAGTCCCCTCCTGCTCCCTGGCTAAATGATGCGCTGCGTGCTAATAGAACCGTCCTTAGGGCAGCAGAGCGGAAACGGTGGAAATCCAAACACCGTGACGACCTCCTAACCTATCAGGCTCTCCTCTCGTCTTTCTCTGCTTCGATCTCTCAGGCAAAAAGCACTTTCTTTCAAGATAAGATCCAATCTTCCTATTCCAATCCCAAAAAACTATTTTCCATCTTCTCCACCCTCTTGGACCCTCCAAAAGCCCCTCCCCCCTCCTCACTTCTGTCAAGCGACTTTGTTACCCACTTTGAAAAAAAGGTTGATGATATTCGCTCTTCTTTTTCTGACTCACCTTTACTCACCGCTGGGTCACCAGACCCCACTTCCACCGACACACTGACCTCCTTTTCCCCTCTCTCTCCAAGTGAGGTTCTTACCCTCATTACCTCTGCCCGCCCTACCACCTGTCCTCTGGACCCTATCCCTTCAAACCTCCTTCAGACTATCGCTCCTGATATTCTACCGTTTCTCACCCATTTCATCAACACTTCTCTAACTTCTGGTCACTTTCCAAACAGTCTCAAGGAGGCAAGAGTAAACCCTCTCCTAAAGAAACCCACTCTCAACCCGTCTGATGTTATAAACTACAGGCCTGTCTCTCTCCTCCCGTTCCTGTCTAAATCATTTGAACGCGCTGTCTTTAAACAACTCTCCTGTTATCTCAATCAGAACAACCTTCTGGATCCGCACCAGTCTGGTTTCAAGGCAGGTCACTCCACAGAAACTGCTCTCATTGCTGTCACGGAGGAATTGCACACTGCCAAAACTGCATCCCTCTCCTCTGTCATCATCCTATTGGACCTGTCTGCCGCATTCGACACGGTGAATCATCAGATCCTCCTTCGCACTCTCCAAAAACTTGGAGTTTCAGGCTCTGCTCTTTCCCTCCTCACCTCATACCTCAAAGACCGTACCTACAGGGTGACTTGGAGAGGGTCTGAGTCCGACCCTTGTCAATTAACTACAGGGGTCCCTCAGGGCTCTGTTCTTGGTCCCCTCCTCTTCTCCGTGTACACAAACTCGCTCGGATCAGTCATTAGCCCGCATGGTTTTTCTTACCACTGCTACGCTGACGACACCCAATTAATTCTGTCCTTTCCCCGCTCAGAGACCCAGGTCGTTGCACGCATCTCTGCTTGTCTAGCTGACATCTCTCAGTGGATGTCTGCTCACCACCTCAAGCTCAACCTTGACAAGACTGAGCTGCTCTTCCTCCCGGGAAAAGATTGTCCCACTCTTGACCTAACAATCAACACCGGCACCTCAGTTGTTCCCCCGACTCAGACTGCAAGGAATCTGGGTGTGACCCTAGATAACAACCTGTCCTTCACTGCAAACATCGCTGCTACAACCCGTTGCTGCAGATACACGCTTTACAACATCAGGAAGATACGTCCCCAGCTGACTCAGAAAGCGACTCAGGTTCTGGTCCAGGCTCTCGTCATCTCACGCCAAGACTACTGCAACTCCCTCCTGGCTGGTCTACCTGCATGTGCCATCCGACCTCTGCAGCTCACCCAGAATGCAGCGGCTCGTCTGGTCTTCAACCTTCCTAAATTCTCCCACACCACTCCGCTCCTCCGCTCCCTTCACTGGCTTCCGGTAACTGCTAGAATCCACTTCAAGACACTGGTACTTGCTTACCATGCTGCGAATGGATCTGGCCCTTCCTACATCCAGGACATGGTTAAACCGTACACCCCAGCGCGTGCACTACGCTCTGCATCAGCCAAACGACTCGTTGCGCCCTCGCTGCGAGGGGGACCCAAGTTCCCATCGGCGAAAACACGTGGGTTTGCTATCCTGGCTCCAAGATGGTGGAATGAGCTCCCCATTGACATCAGGACAGCAGATAGCTTGCACATCTTCCGGCGCAAACTGAAAACTCATCTCTTTCGACTCCACTTCGAGCGTTAGAACTATTAACGAAGCACTTTTATACTAATAAAGGACTGGCTTACCTAAAGCCAGTTGAGTAGCACTTGCAATGTTTGGCTCTATGAAACCTGATGTACTTATATGATTCTGTTTTCTTCAAGGTTGTGTCTTCCTGGTCGAATGTACTTATTGTAAGTCGCTTTGGATAAAAGTGTCAGCTAAATGCAATGTAATGTAATGTAATAATACAATAAAGCAACATTGGAACAGATACAGAATGAGTACCAGGACTAAAGCCGCTCAAAAGGTCCAGAGAGCGATGTGCTCAAAGTTCAAATTATTCAAACTTTGACCTCGACTGCTGCTTTTTCTAATACTTGAGTATTCAGGCAGAGGGTAGTAGACCTAAATCCTTAGAGCAGTAAATGTAAGTATTAATATAAGCATGAAATCATTGTTTAAGTTTTCCTGCTGTTAAAAAGTGCATTTTGAAAGCATGGATTAATCTTTAATGATTTCAAGCATTAGGATATTACTGCTCTTACACTTCTGGCTATTAACTAAATGAGCCAAACAGTAATACAATTAAATGCGCATAAAATATGATGCGATTAAATGCCAAAAACAATAAGAAATAGCAAATATTGTTAATACACATTCAACCAACTCCATAAAGATCACACTGCAGAGAAGCTGCTGAGTCATGCTTACATAGCAGCTTGTGTAACCGTGTTGTTCTGTTTGCAGGAGCTCTCCCTCAGGGTGACGGTGGCCGAGGCCACAGACGACGGCCGGGGCGAGAACCTGGGTCACGTGATCATCGGCCCCGAGGCCAGCGGGATGGGCATCACCCATTGGAAACAGATGCTCGCCACGCTGAGGAAGCCGGTGTCCATGTGGCACCCTCTGCGCAGGATCTAGGCCTCACACACACACACACACACACACACACACACACACACACACACACACACACACACACACACACACACACACACACACACACACACACACACACACACACACACACACACAACCTGTTTCAATGAAAACACTCGCCTCTTCACCTCTCCCCTTATTGGGTGCTAGGCGGTTTCATGTTTTAGTAAGATAAGAGCTTTGTGAGTATCGAATTGGAGTAGACACCTTATCTTCATGTGAGGGGGAGGAATCTGAAAAAGCCAGTGTTTGACTCTGAATAGGGTGTTTTTATGGATCCATGGATCAATTATACATGTATCTTTCCTTAGTATTCTGCTGTATTCTGGCCTGGGTGCATTATGAGTAAGGCTGGCATTTAAGAAGCAGCATTGCATATTCCAAATGCAAGTGCAAATCCCAAATTTCACAATAAAAGTAATTCGTTTTCGTCTTACCTTTTCCCCTTGGATTGATAATCGAGCTGAATCTCAATCTAAAAAAACAGCAGAGGAGACATGAGAAGTGGATATCTATTAAATTCTCAAAAATCCAGATTCGAATATCCTATAGCGTGGACTTTGATGTGAATTTTAATTATTGAAAGGAGCCCAGCCTAGGCAGACGTAACCCCCTCTCTGCATGGTGCCTACTCTGGTTGTAGCCTGTTATAGTGAGCGACTGGACAGTGGAATTAAATCTCCTCTCTTTCAGGAAAACACTCATTTGTCTTTTCAAACCAGTCATTGATTGCGCCTCCTTGATTGATTTCGTTGCGGTTTTGGAGCCGAGCTAGCTCTATTGGATTTGCTTGTGTCATTTGTTGATAGTGAGATTGACAAATAATAGAGGTTTTGGTAGTTTTTTTTGGTTTGGTATGTATATTATTGTGCTTTTGAAAAAAATTAAATCCAGGTACTCTTATCCAGGTGAAATAATTGTAATTTGTAGCAGTTGTTACAGGGTGGCCAAAACAGCATTTAAATATCATTTTACATTGTTCTACTTTACCATGATGAATGCAATACAACTTGCATATGCATAATTAACAGTGTAAAAGTGTACTTCAACATTATTCTCAATGTCTTTTAATTACTCAAAATCTGGGTGCAACTCATCTTTTTCATAGTATTCCAACTTTATTAGACTCCAAATTCATTTCCACAACACTCTATTTAACACTAATGTTGTTGCTGAATTAATATCAAAACACCTCTGGGAATTTAACTTGTGATGTAAAGTATACTAACCCTTTTAAATGGGTTTACAGTTCCTTTTGTCTCAGAGGAAACACCTTGATATTCTGAATTAATCTGTTGTTGTTTTTCACCAGGCACTTGTCACACTCATTTAAGCTTTCGTCATTAAGCTATAGCTGCAAACGTCTCATAAGCACTGAGGGCTAACCTGGTTAAAACTCACAGGAGCCACTTTGTAGTTTTAAGCCTGAATGGTAATATTGTAAAAAGTGTTGCTATTTAAATGAAGATAGAGTGACAGGGGTCTTGTAAAAGTCAAAATCTCAAGGTAGCTTTATTTATCTGAGATATTCTCTACAACATTGTTCAATAGTGCTGTTTTGTTGTAACTTCCGAATGTGAAATATCATCTGAAATATCTGCTAAAGACATCATCAGCCTTTCGCACTGCTGTGATATTTGTTTTATTCCAGCAGAACCTAGTCTACACTTTTAGTCAAGTTCTCATTTTATTCTTCAATTCACTTTTAAAAATCCAAAAATAACACATCTGTGGTCATGTAAAGGACAATATTTCCTACTGTGCCAAATAACAAAGCAATATTTTCATTTACAATCAGCATTCGCATTCAACAAAGCTGTAGCCTACATTCAACAATGCATGAAGTTATTTAGCACTTGATGTGAATGTGCCTCAAGAATACAGTGTATTGTGTGAATGCTGTTTGAAATAAAAGCAATTAAACAGTAAACGTCTGCTCATGTGTTTATTTAGTTTGATTGACCTGGAATTTCTGTAATCTGAGAGAAGGATTGTAGGCCTGTTTGTAGCTGTTTGAGTGAACTATGTTGTATATAGGTGCTGGTCAACTGCTTTGGGCTATTTTTATTGAACTCTTGAAATATGCAGCACTAAAACACAGTGTTGGAAGGAGTATTGAGTATTTCATATTTCAAAATTAGTAAATTTAGCCAATTTACTGTGCAACAATAGCCTGTTATAAGTAAAATAACGATACTTAAGTAAAAGGGATTTAATTACCATTAAATGTAACTATAAGTACCAAAAGTAAAACTTGTAATTTGCATAATTTCCAAAATCACCTACATTTTTCAGCTGGTAACAGTGGATCTAATTTCAATTAATATAATGTATATACAGCTGCAGAACTTAACCTGTAACACATCAATACATGTATTAGTTACTTTATATTTAATGATGGCGTTTGGCACAGTGAGTTGTGCGCAGGTGTTCAGATCAGGGGGTCACAGGTTCAAACCCCACTGCAGTCAGCATGTCGTTGTGTCCCTGAGACACTTCACCCCAAATTGCTCCTGTGGGGATTGTCCACAGTATTGAGTATGTAAGTCGCTTTGGATAAAAGCGTCTACTAACAAGTAACATGTAATGTAATATATTGCATTTCTAATTTAAGTATGCAAAGAGTAAAAAGTGCCCGGGAGATGTAGTGGAATATAATTATAGAAAAGCATAACATATATTATGATACTCAAGTAAAGTAAAAGCACCTCAACTGTACTTCATCCTACTAGTACCGTAAGTAAGTAAATATATCTATTAAGTTAGATTCCAATATTGCCAAAGCGCAATATGACATGATATTACAGAGGTAGATTCTGCTTGCCTTTATCACCTGATCTTCAAGACAGTCCCTTTTAGGACTTGCACAATGAAACAATGAGCAAGAGGGTATTATAAAAAGGTTGATTGTGTTCATCATCTTTGGTTTGGTGCTTTCTCCTCTTGTCCTAAAAGTAGGTCAAGCTTCCTCTCTTCAGCCAATCAGAAAGGAGGGTTGTGGGCGGGGGCGGGGCCTAATTGAGCAAAGTCCAGGAAGAATGGCTAGAGATCGGGGACAACAGCGATAACAGTTTCTCCTGCAACATCTACCCAGCATTTTGACGTCTAAACGTCCTGTAACTCTGAGCTGTCAACATGGCTGACAACAGAGATAAAGCTACCGATCAAATGAAGGCATGGAAGCAGAGTAGAAGCTCTCAGGTCTGTATTTTGTCTACATGTTGTTGCTGTTTAGCGCTGTCTTTCTTGGGAGAAATGGTGAGAGGTCATTTAGAGTAACCAGCTAACAGTCATAAGCTAAAGCTAGCTTGTCAATGGAACTACTTTGCAGATATTTCCAAGTTATTTAGTGTTCTTAAATGTTTATTTTGGGGCAATGTAATCTCTGTTATTGTAAAGACTGACTTGCAGATCTGCCAGCCATTTGATCATGCTAAAATAACGTCAAACGTCAAATAACGTGAAGCAGAAATGACACCACCAACCGAGCTTATGAGTCACCAAATAAACACACAAAAGGCTTTAAAATGTGTAAGGAGAGTACATTAGTGTAATGATGTAAGGTAGGTCATTGTCCAGGCCCGGGGCATGTTTGTGGTGCACTTCACCCCTTTGAGTTATATAACCAGAGCATATCAGAGCAAATAGCATGGTGCGTTTCCAGATAGTCCAGGGGATGAGGGGAGGTGAAGAAGTACTACACAAATACCACAGTGTAGAAAACTCATGCAATCTTAATGTTAGTCAAGTAAAAGTACAAAAGTATTGGCATCTTAATACACGTAAAGTACCAAAAACAAAAGTACTTATTATGCAGATTGGCCCATTTCAGTATATATTATATGTTTTGATTATAATTCTTGATGCGTTCAAATGTTGTCAAAGCTGGTAAAGGTGCAGCTAGTTTTAATTATGCTGCAGGGTAGCTTGTGAACTTTACTACAGGTGTAAAGTGTTATTTAGGTGTTGATCATATTTTTTACCATTAATCTATATCTGCAAAGTAACTAAAGATAATGTATTAATGTAGTGGAGTGAGTAAAAGTACACTATTTACCTTTTGAATTGTAGTGGAGCCATGCACGAATAAGCTCTCTTAACTGTTTCTAATGCGATCTTTATGTCGTAAACAGATGAGTAGATTTCCCGTAAATCACAAAATGTATTCTCATGTCTCGTACAGAGAGATATCAACACGCAGTAACACGTCCACAACGGCCCTCTGGGAAATGATACTTCCCCCCCCCCAGCAATTGATATGCTGCCCTGCTGAGATCACTTGAGAGTAAAGTTACCTGTGGAGACAATTAGTGGGAGAAAGAGAGACACCACAGCACATTACACATCTACTATCACCTTAAGTAACCCTTATTGTCTCTCTAATGTTAGTTTGGTTTGTGTTTTTATCTTAGTACAGTTTCAAGGGAAGTCTGATTGTTGTCATAATAAGCAGAGTGCTTCTTGAGGTTTTTTTTATAATTTTGCAGCTGTGAAAACAATGAAGAGGGAACAATGTAATCTAGCAGGTTATGTGATCTTAGCATATGGATTTGGTGGATCCTGTTTATATTGTTTCTGTTGCAACACTGCAAGCAACAGTGACATATCAGTTGCAGAAATGTGCATGCAGCTGCTTGCTTGGATACCAACTTTTTCAAATGTTGTGTCAGTCGACTTATCTCTAATGCATCTAGTTGCCTCAGCTCTACGTAGGAAGGAATTCAAATAGAAACAATGAGATAGTTAGTTGATTTAAAAGATTGGCCGGTAGACAGAAATGAATGTGCAACCGTTTTGCTTCAGTTATTTAAGCTAAAGTCAAGTCAAAGTTTGTGTCCATCTTTCAGTTTAACAGCTCAGTGAAAACAGCTAAAAAGGAAAAAAGAACTGACTTATTCAATGTAAATTTGCGTTGCTTATTTTGTTTATATTTATACATATTTAATTTATATATTACAAAAGTTGTTACCTTGGCCTCTCCAGCCTATTATAAATTATAGTACGATTTGTTTGCAACATTATTTGATTCTTAATCATGCACACTTGTAACAAAAGTACTTGTGAAAATGAATGTGTTGGTTTATTTTGTTAAAATAGAGAGATGGGAGGACATCCAGCTCTGAGCCACAGGTTGGATTTGAACCTCTGCAGTAATGACTCATCCTTTAATTATCTCTAACATGGATTATTCTTGCAACAGAGGCCCGACACTCTGACCACAGGGGCCGGCCATCCCATAGGAGACAAGCTGAACCTGCAGACTGCCGGACCCAGGGGCCCCCTGCTGGTCCAGGACGTGGTGTTCACAGACGAGATGGCCCACTTTGACCGGGAACGCATCCCAGAGAGGGTGGTGCATGCCAAAGGGGGGGGTGAGTGCTGGCCAGGGAGCAGACTCTCCTTTGTAACTGAGTCTGAGAAACTTCAGCAGATTGACATTAAACATTGAAGTAGTGGTTTCTGTTTCTCAAAACTCAGAGATCAAGTATCCTGTTTCGTATTGCAAAAAGGATCTTATTGTTTCTTCCACCTCCTCCTTCTGTAAACAGTGTACTTCTAGATACTAATCATGTGACTGTTTAAACCATGGGTCTCAAACTCAAGGCCCGGGGGCCAAATCCGGCCCGCGACTTCATTTGATGTGGCCCCACAAGAGCTTGCAAAGAATATAATATAGTTTATTATACGGTTACATGCCACTTTACAGAAGCAGGATGCCCATAAACTACATGTCCCACAATGCATCTCGTTTTGTGACATGCGCACTGAAGAGACTTGGAATTATTTGCCCTGGACTTCTGCTTTCAGACGTAGTTAATTACTAAGTTATTATCCTATCCGATAATAATCCAATTCAGAGGCAATAATGTCATATAATACATTATTTTATATATATATATATTATATATTTATATAGTTACAACCGGCCCTTTGAGTGCAACCTTTATGGGAATGTGGCCCGCGATGAAATTGAGTTTGACACCCATGGTTTAAACAGAGTTACAATTGTGTGATGTTTCAACTGTTTCTGTGATATAATGTAATCTGTATACTGATGCGTAGTTTTCATGTAAGTCTAACTATAATACTATGATAAAGACCATAAAGGCATAGCACAACACTATCTCAGCAACAGGATTAAGTTGTTTCCAGATGATACAAATATTTTTACATTTTAATGATTTGCAACGAACACGCACACAAGAAATGTGAAAATCTGGCTGCATAACCTGCCAAAGTCAAATGAGATTACTGACCATAAAGTAGGCACAGTTCAAATCAAGGTCATTCATTGGTAGATTAGCTCCAGAAAAATGCTAATCCGTGCAAGGTGATCCGATCAAGGTCACAGACTTTGTTAAGTAACTTCTTCTTGTTGCTTTTCTCCAATGTATCGTAACGTGCAATCAACTAAAGAGCTTTGAACCAGACTTGTTCAGCTGATATATGAATATGAACAAATGATGACCGGTCTCATTATTCTCCCTCCATGATTCAGGAGCCTTTGGTTACTTTGAGGTGACTCACGACATCTCTCGCTACTGCAAGGCCAAACTGTTTGAACATGTCGGCAAGACTACACCTGTCGCTGTCCGTTTCTCCACTGTGGGTAAGAATAACCATTTCCTCTATTGTTTCAGTCTTACTTTATGCAAACAGATTTCCCCCCAAAAAGATCAAACACATATATATTTATTGAAATGACAGAAACAGCATAATCTATTATTTCCCATAAAAACGCTAGGTAAGAAATGCTGCTCTAGAATAGTTATTACTATTTAATTTAATTATCTGTCTTGAAAATATGAGTTTTACAAAAGGAGATATAAGAAAATATGTTGTTCTGATGGAGGTTTATTTAATTTAAGTATCTTTTAAGTAAATATGAAAAGAGTATTACAGTTCGCCCCACACATTTGATTCGGTTCTATTGAGATAAGTATGAGTGGCAAGGTGCATGGTGTCTTGCAAGGGTGTTTTGGATATTTGCCCTCTTCCTATCAGCCCCTTGAACTCCAACTCAGTCTGATGAGTCTTTTCAAACCGCTGATCGATAACACAAAATATTTCCACTAATGGCTTGATCAACTAATCAGTGAAGCCCTACTTTACTTTGAAATAAGAACAATGGCCAGTGTCTGTTGAATTCTGAACTATTATTTTACTAATTTATGAGTTAACTGTTTTGTCTTATTTGCATTTTATTTCAGCTGGAGAATCGGGATCAGCAGACACCGTGCGAGACCCCCGAGGATTTGCAGTCAAGTTTTACTCTGAGGAGGGAAACTGGGACCTGACGGGCAACAACACCCCCATCTTCTTCATCAGGGACGCCCTGCTGGTGAGTGTCGGTGGTGTGTGAACCAATCAAAATCTTTTATCAGTGGGAGGACTACAACGTTAATAAATAATGGTTTTAAAGGTCACCTATTATGCAAAATCCTCTTCTTCATGTCTTTTCTACATCAACATGTGTCCCCTCTGTGGAAAGAGATTCTGAAAGTTTCAGGAAAAAAGATTCTCTCACTTTTTGTCCTGATCCATTTATATAAAAACCTGTCTGAAAATGAGCTGACTTTATGATGTCATAATGATGTTTTGGCTTGTGTAACCATTAGCCAATCAGCAACCAAGGTAACCCCCCAGCCTTATCACCTGAATCTCCTCCTAGAGCACTCTCTTGTGTTCTCTTTAACCAAATCTCTCTCAGAGGGGCGTGGGGAGGGGCTCCTTATTTTCATCTAAAGTAACAGACAGAGAATCAGCACTTTTGAAACAGGGCTGAAACAGAGGGGATTATGGGTAATGCTGCAATGATCTGTTTGGTGTTTCGAGCCAAACACTTCAGAGACATGTTTTGTATATATCTCTGACCTATAATATATTGATGAAAAACAGTATAATAGGGGAACTTTTAAAGCTTTGAACCTATCAAAAAATATCGGAGTAGATTGTAGAAAGAGCTTCACCCAACCACATTCCTCTCGTCTCACATTAACTTGCCTCTTTTTTCCCCATGCAGTTCCCGTCCTTCATCCATTCCCAGAAGCGCAATCCCCAGACCCACATGAAAGACCCCGACATGGTGTGGGACTTCTGGAGCCTGAGGCCTGAGAGTCTGCATCAGGTAGCTGCTGCTGAGCCCCTTGTTGTTTTTGAGTCTACAGAGGATTATTACAGAAAGCTAAATTCCTCAGTTGAAGGCACTTCACATGACTGTTTTTAATTAAAGTAAGTATTTATACATGAAAAGTTTGCAGGACTCATGACCGTCTTCTGTCCTCCTGCTCAGGTGTCTTTCTTGTTCAGCGACCGAGGTTTGCCTGATGGTTTCCGTCATATGAACGGCTACGGCTCACACACTTTCAAAATGGTCAATACCCAAGGAGAGCCTTTCTACTGCAAGTTCCACTTCAAGGTCAGTCAGAACCCAGGGTTAACACTCATTTGTCCTTTCAGATTCACCTCCTGGGGTTTTGGCATTGCATAGTTACAGGAAGTCATATTTGTTGTTGATATGTTGTGTTTTTTTTAGACTGATCAAGGAATAAAGAACATGTCAGGGGAGGAGGCAGAGCGCCTGGCTGCCAGCAACCCAGATTATGCCATTGGAGATCTTTACAACGCCATTGCTAATGGAAACTTCCCATCCTGGACCTTCTTCATCCAGATCATGACCTTCGAGCAGGCGGAGACCTTCCAGTTCAACCCCTTCGATCTCACCAAGGTACCACATCCCTCCACAGCAGAACGAACAAATGTGTTAGGTTTGAGACAAGCAGTTATTAAAAGCTTCAGATGGACTCACTTTAAAACCTCTTGTAGGATACTTAAATGTTCTTTTTAATTAATCTGTTGACATTATACCAGGTGTGTTTGTAGGTTCACAGCTTTGTTAGGTGTTCTAAGCCATTTGGTTGAATGAGGAACAGTCTAATCAAGAGAAGTGACTGCACCAAGTGTTTTTTTATATATATAATTAACACAATTGCATATTTGTGAATATTACTGTGATGTCACAGAAGAAAATTGAATTATTTATCAATCAATAGACAAATAATGAATACAACAAAAGTGTATATGTCGACTTCAGTACTGTGGACAATCCCCACAGGAGCAATTTGGGTGAAGTGTCTTGCCCAGGGACACAACGCTGACTGCAGTGGGGTTCGAACTTGTTACCCCCTAATTCGAAGTCCAGCACTCTATCCACTGAGCCACAGCCGCCCTATTAACCTGTCTTAACGTTTTGATCACTCTACTGTGGTAACAAGCTGGAGAAAAAAGAGAACAATAAAATCAATATGACCACAACAAGGCATTTAGTGTAGTAGGGCTCCATATTTTGTGTTTGTTTATTGATAAATTGCACATTCCTGGGAAAGCTGTTAAATATTTAGGAGTATTGGACCCTGCCAGGCTCATTTCTATGTCAAAGATCTTTAACCTCTCCAATTATTGAATGATTAATGATTAAAGTAACAGTCTTTTTCAGCTCACTGATTTTTTCTCACTCAGGTTTGGTCTCAAAAAGAATACCCTTTGATCCCTGTGGGCAAAATGGTCCTCAACAGGAATGCAGTGAACTACTTTGCCGAGATAGAGCAGCTGGCCTTTGACCCCAGCAACATGCCGCCTGGCATCGAGGCGAGCCCCGACAAGATGCTGCAGGTAAAACAACGACAGTCTTTTCTTTATTCTTTTTTCAGTCAGATTGTAAAGAGACAGGGAGATGTTCTACGTAATTGTAGGAAAAAATATATATATGCTGCCATTTTTAACCTTTAATAACCATTCTCTCTGTGTTGCCATTTCAAAGGGCACGTTCTCAGTGTGCTAAAACAAATGCATGGATGTTTTTCTCTGCACCAATGCGTGTAAATAAACAGCTGAAAACATGCTTAGTGTGAAGGTTCTCATCAATAAAGAAACTTAAAGGAGTCTCACGGTGCTATGTCTTGTTTCTCTCCCATCATGCCGTTGTGTAGGGTCGTCTCTTCTCTTACCCAGACACACATCGACACCGGCTGGGAGCAAACTACCTGCAGCTCCCCGTCAACTGTCCTTTCAGGACCCGCGTGACCAACTACCAGCGCGATGGCCCCATGTGCATGTTTGACAACCAAGGTGTGTGTGTGTGTGTGTGTGTGTGTGTGTGTGTGTGTGTGTGTGTGTGTGTGTGTGTGTGTGTGTGTGTGTGTGTGTGTGTGTGTGTGTGTGTGTGTGTGTGTGTGTGTGTGTGTGTGTGTGTGTGTGTGTGTGTGTGTGTGTGTGTGTGTGTGTGTGTGTGTGTGTGTGTGTGTGTGTGTGTGTGTGTGTGTGTGTGTGTGTGTGTGTGTGTGTGTGTGTGTGTGTGTGTGTGTGTGTGTGTGTGTGTGTGTGTGTGTGTGTGTGTGTGTGTATACAATGAATCAGAAACAGGTTTATTACCAGGTAGGTTTACACGTACAAGGAATTTGACTTGATGTTGCGGTTTACATAAAATTAAAACAATAGTTGAAAACACAGGTAGAGAATTATAAAAAATATAATACAATATAACATTTACCTTGCAATGTAAAGGAATAAAATATGGAATAAAAATCGGCAGTTATAAAAATAAGAAAACAGATATTGTTGTACATTGTGTGCATGACAAGGATATACACACATTCTTAACTGTTGTAGCAGCAGATGTGGATAGTGTGAAAATGTGTATCTTTTGTAATCTATGGAGTCATTCATTTAAGTTTGTATGACCTTATATCCAGGGCTGCACATAACTGGTGCGCAGGTGCGCATGCGCACCTCCGCCAAAAAAAGAGCACCGGGTCATTTGAAACAAAGCGCATTTGCGTACCAACATTGAGAAGGAGAGAGAGAAGAGAAAAGAGAAAATAGAGGAGAGAGGAGAGATGAGAGAGAGAGAGAGAAGAGAGAGAAAGATATTTGCGAGTTGCATATGAACCATGATATGAACTCAGGGCCGGCCCGTAGCGCTGGCTAGATGTTCGCCTAAGGCGCCAGATCTGGGGAGGTGCTGCGCTGGCAGTTCTGGGAGGGAAAAAAACATTTTGACCGTTGGGGCTCATCCTAATTTTCGGCCTTGATGTAACAATATTCACAATTAAGTAAATGTAACACCCTTTTCACCCCGGTTCCACCTTTCATTTGCCCTGTACGATGGGCGCTGTAAGTGATGAAAATGGGGGGTGTTGGCTTATCTGGCGCCCGCAGCTCACAGACAAAATGCGAGTGAGCGAGGGAGAGAGGGAGGGAGGGTGGTACCAGCGCTGTTGTTATTATAATCTGGTGCCGTGCTAGCTGCTCTAACGGAGATAAGAAGAAGATGTTTCTACAATAATGTGGAGGGAGAGTCCTCCAGTCAGACTGAGAGGCTGATAAGTTAACTACAGCTCAGTGAGGTAAAGGACTCTTAGTCTAAATTCAAACGGTTTGGTCACAATTTATGTAAACACATATTTCCAAGGCACTCTTTTGTAATTATTGGGATAAACAGGTTTTAAATCATTCCAATGTATACTATAGGACAGTAACCAAAAATATCCTTTAAAACGAGATTAAAAAAAAATGCATAAATAAATAAATGTTAAGGTAAAATAAGATATGAATGAACAACACAAATAAAATAAGTTACATTAATTTGTTATTGGCTATGGTAGGCTATTGGTTATGTTCACATACTTATTTGATTACATCCACTTGTCTAAGATGACAACAGAGACTTTCGACCCAAACCCTGCTGTTGACTTGTGGATGCAAGCAGCTAATCGCAGACTCAACCAGAGAGAAAGAAGTAGGCCTACATCATCAGCTACCATGTCTGACAGAGAGGAAGACAGTGAGGAGAACAGTCAGGAGGGTAGTGATGACAGCTTGTGACTGGTCGTGCTAATGTTGTCTTGTGTTGTGTTCACCTCTGCATGTGTGTTCTGTGTTCACCTCTGCATGTGTGTTCAGTGCCGTGTGTCTGGCAAATAAAGTCAAGACCCCCTCAAAAGTTACGGTTTATTTCATTTTAAGGATGAGCACCAAGCAACATCTCCAGGTGCTCCTTTGAGAACCAGGGCAAAAAAGTGATGTGCACCCCTGCTTATATCAGTAGAGCATTGTAGCTTTGGCAATACTTGGGTTTTCCAGCAGAGGGAGTCCAATCGCACCTCCACCACCAAATGCAATACCAATAGCAACCAACAGATGGCGCCATTTAGAATGTATAAAATGCAATGTACTACTTCATTACCCATATTCAGCATAGTAACTTCATAGTAGTTCAGTACTTCAAGACTCCCAGATTATAAACAAGCAGGATCGAGAGTGTACACATTTGCGACATCAACAATTTCACTGGCCAAAAAAAAACTATATTAAAAACCTACACTGGATATTCCTTTCTATAAATGTTTCCATCTTTTTCAGATTGTTTTCATGCTTTGTTTTGATGTAGCCGTTTTGAGTGTTTTATCATTTACATTTTTCCTAATTTGCTTCCAGTTGTGGTTTTTGTAGATGAAATATGTTTGTTTTTTGTTTTTTACAACTTTTTCCTTTGAACCACCTTTCCCCACTTCCTTGTAATAGCTTGTTTACATGCTGACCCTAACTGATTATTTAGAAAAAACCCAATTATCTACCGAATATCAAAGCTGTGAGACTTTACAACATGCCATATTTTTAAACCAGAGACCTTCCACAATTTGAGTAACCCTTCCCTTTTATTGTCTCAGTTACTTCAGTATTTGAGCAGCATTTTCTCTCCCTACCCTTACTCACCAGTGTTTGGTCTGTCTTGCCTCTAGGTGGCGCTCCAAACTATTTTCCCAACAGCTTCAGTGCCCCGGACACCCAGCCTCAGTTTGTGGAGTCCAAGTTCCAGGTGTCTCCAGATGTGGCCCGCTACAACAATGCAGATGAAGACAATTACACACAGGTACAAATAATGTCTGTAACTGGGTCAGTTTTATAGGCATGTGCTGTGTTGTGTTAGAATATCACCATAAGGCCCATCAGTTATGGGTCAAAGGTCACCTATTATGCAAAATCCACTTTTTCATGTCTTTTATACATAAACATGTGTCCCCTCTGTTTAAAGAGACTCTTTAAACAGAGGGGTTTTTACCCTTACCCTGCACTGGATCGTGGAAACAGGATCCCAGTTTACATAATCTTTTTCAAATGCAAGTCTGTATAAAAACCTGAATCAATCACACTTTATTTGATAATGTGAAGTAGCTTGGACTACCACAGAGGGTTAAGTTATTTTGTACATTTTATATTGTGTTTTCTTGATATACTCTATTGATATATATATTTTCTACTCTTGATATGTACATATTTACAGTGCTGTATTTATTTGGTTTATTTTTGGTAGTTTTTCAATATAATGCATTTTTAATTAGTGTAATAAAGCTGCTGTGACAAAAATAAAGCCCAATTTAGATGACTAAAATGTAATGTAAATGAAATCTAATTGAATCCTTACGGTACGTCCACACGACTCCGTCACATGCTTCAACGGAGACGCTTCCCATTCACTTTGAATTGGGTGACGTCACGCTTTGCCGAACTGCATTGTGGTTCGACGCGTTGCCTCCGTTGCTCGCTTCCAAAGTTGAGAAAAGTTCAACTTTTCAAGCGTCAACGGAAGCGCCAGCCAATCAAATCATATGCCAGTACAAGCTCTAGCAAATGAAACCGCGTGCTTGTGTGTCCGGGGCGGGAGATGAATGTGATTGGTTGTTGGTTGCACGCCAGACACGCCCACCGGCAAGCTTCAACACGACTGAACCGTGTAGACGTACCGTTATGATCAGGTTTTCAAGGATTTTATCTACTTTCTTTGCAGGTTCGCACCTTCTACATGCAGGTGCTGAACGAAGAGGAGCGCCAGAGACTTTGCCAGAACATGGCCGGGGCCCTGAAGGGAGCACAGCTCTTCATCCAAAAGCGCCAGGTGAGTGCTCACCATCTTACACTTTACTACACACAGTGTTTCACTCTGTTATGATCTACACGTGGATTTTTTGATTGAATGACCACATGAAGATTTTTTTTAAAGTATCCAGCAGTGAAATCAGTTAACTTTACCTTTTTAATCGAAGCATTTATATTAGTTACCCAAAAGAAATACAAACTATGTCAGTTGTTCCATGATGAAACCACAGGATGTAGCGTTTTAAAACATGAAATGTTCCCCGGAGCATGTGCTCTGAACCGTGTAGCTTTGTGGTTGTAGGCAGGCGTATTTATGTTGCACGGTTCCTCACACAAGGCACTTTCAATGTGTCTTAAGCCTCTTACACACCAAACTGACACCAAAGAACACGTCCCGACGGAACGTCACCTCACGTCTCCTGCGTCTTGGCCATGTGTCGCACTGGAACACACCGCAAAGACTTCATCTGACGGCCAAGTTACACGTACGAACTGCGCATGCGTGAGTGGCAATAACTCTCCTTACCAGCAGGCGGCGGTAGTGTGTATTCGTCATTCAAAAGAGGCAACAACCGGAAGACAGACTGTGTGATACAAACAAACAATAAATAGCGTGTGTGTTCCATTTTCACTCTACAGCGAGAAGCTCATGGGGCTTTCCCGAACCTGTGTCGAGAGCAGGGGCCTGTACTACGAAGCTGGTTCAACCTAACCTGGATATGTTTGAGTTAGCCGGTTGGCCTAATCCAAAACATACACGCTCTCGCTAAACTGTACTACGACGCGGGTAATCAAGTGGATTTCACATAAAGGGGTGGTATCTGGAGCATTCGACCAATCACAAACATGGAGAAGCATACTGACAGCGCAGCGTCATACTTCCTGAATGAAAAGTCAACTATAATATTAGACATATGAAGAAGTTAAACTTTAAACATCCATGACTTAAACACTTTATCCAGGATCAAAGCCACATAGCTGCACCTGCAAGGTGAATACAGCTGGTAACAGAACAAGTGTTTGAATGCGTACATTAACAGGTTTATGATATCACTGCCCGTCTAAGACACGATCTGACTTTAATTACATTTGACTCGAGTGTTTCGTCAACTTAATGTGTTGCTTAAAATAATACTTCTGCATACAGTATGTGACACTGTGAGTGTTGCACGGCCAGATACGGCTCAGCTGACTCAGATAAGGAAATATATGATACATTAAGATATGATATGCCGCGGACTGTACTTAATGTTACTCTGATCCGGTTACTTATGTTGTGGCAGATATTTAAGTAAGCTTTCTTAACGCTAATGTTATAATAGTCAGATTGCTCTGAAGATGGAGGTGATATTCTATTAATGTTCACGTTCACACAGTCGGTGATTTTTGCCGGCCGTCTTTCCTGCATCGGCAGCTTTTCTGTATTTCCTTTCTCCTGTAATATGACATGGTCGGTTTAAACTCCGCACACTGAGCTCTGATTGGTCAGCAGGCAGTGCTTTCACTGAGTTGAGCTCCTAGCCTGCAACCTAACCTGGTCCCGACCTGGGGGGTATACTACGAATCTAGTTCAACCTATCCTAGATATGTTTTGAGTTATCCGGTTGACTTAATCCAAAACTAAGCCGCTCTCGCTAAACTGTCCTACAACGCTGGCTATCAACTCGTTCGCTCAAGCCAGCCGTGTCCTATCTAGTTAGGTGCGCGTTCACAGAAAGGGGTGGTATCTGGAGCATTCGACCAATCACAAACATGGATAAGCGTACTGACAGCGCAGCGTCATACTTCCTGAATGAAAAGTCAACTATAATATTAGACATATGAAGAAGTTAAACTTTAAACATCCATGACTTAAACACTTTATCCAGGATCAAAGCCACATAGCTGCACCTGCAAGGTGAATACAGCTGGTAACAGAACAAGTGTTTGAATGCGTACATTAACAGGTTTATGATATCACTGCCCCGTCCAAGACACGAGTGGATCTGACTTTAATTACATTTGACTCGAGTGTTTCGTCAACTTAATGTGTTGCTTAAAATAATACTTCTGCATACAGTATGTGACACTGTGAGTGTTGCACGGCCAGATACGGCTCAGCTGACTCAGATAAGGAAATATATGATACATTATGATGCATGTGATATGATGTGATATGAATGATAATGGGACACATCGACGTCTGCACTCACAGTACCGCGGACTGTAGGCAACGTAATGTTACTCTGATCCGGTTACTTATGTTGTGGCAGATATTTAATTAAGCTTTCTTAACATAATAGTATAATAGTTATAATAGTCAGATTGCTCTGAAGATGGACGTGATATTCTATTCATTTTCACGTTCACACAGTCGGTGATTTTGGCCGGCTGTCTTTCCTGCAACGGCAGTTTAAACTGTATTTCCTCCGCACACTGAGCTCTGATTGGTCAGCAGGCGTGGTGCTTTCGCGGAGTTGATCTCTTATCTTGGAACCTATCCTGCATCGGAGCACAGACTAGGTTCCAGGATAAGTCACCATGGAGATCTAGCCCGCTAAAAAGTAAACCAGCTTCGTAGTACCGGAAATCCCAGAAGTTATCTTGCTAAACAAAAATCCTGCTTCGTAGTATACCCCCCAGGTTAGCCGCACAGCATAAGTTACCATGGAGATCTAGCCTGCTAAAAAGAGAACCAGCTTCGTAGGACCGGAAACCCTGAGTTTTCACCGGAAGTTAGCCGGCTAAGCGAAAATCCTGCTTCGTAGTATACCCCCCTGGAGTTCAATTAAATCTCAGATTTGCCTTCTTAATAGTTTGTTTTGAAACTTCCGTTTCGCTTCTCATGCACTGATTCGCTAAGCTGAACAGCCAATCAGAGGGATTTATTTGGCCGACGGAAGGTGTCGGCACGGCCGAAAAGACACGACGGTGCAGTACACAACAATCTGAGTAGGGCGACACGACGCTCATCGACGGCCCGACATCTGTCGACATCTATCGTTGCCGATAATCGGCTCGGTGTGTAACAGCCTTTACACACACACATCAAAATAAACTAAGTCTGTATATATGCTCCTTTTATTAAATCCTATAGTGATCATTTTTATGTAAAATAAATACATTAGAAGGCAACACAAAAAGGTCAGGTTTTGAAGCTTATAAAGGGTGAGGTGGTGCAGAGTTACTGAATATATCTTCTATTACTTACTTTTGGAACAGTGACCTACTTTATGCTGAGAACCTAAAGAGTCTGGCTGTTTTTTTGTAAAGCAGATTTATATAGAGTGATTTCACAGTGACTTCAGTTTCCCACTGGGTCTTTAATCTGGTCAATCCACTGAATAGGGTTGGTGAGGGACACATCCTACACACAATTCACTTGATAAGGCTTTTGGATCATGTAAATACATTTAATACCGTCTTTTTTTTGGGTGATTCTATTCAAATATATGATTCAATAATAATTTGTTAGTTTTCTTTCATTCACATTAGGTCACATAGGTAACATCACGTTAGTTCTGATTAATGCAATTCATGGTGTGGCAACTGCCACTGGTCTCCTCTACTGTCACACTGAAAACTGCCGGAAAACAGGTTTCATCAGATCTTGCCAGTTAATACTGCACCCTCAGCCAGTGCATGCAAAAGTCAAAACGAAAGTTATAGTTTGTGTTTCTCAGCACGGTTTACTTCAATTATGAAATGGAAGTCGATATGAGTTTAAAGAAAAAATAAAATAAATAACATTCAGTGCAGTCCAATACTTGTGTGCTGCTGTGTGAAGTACAGAAAGGAGGCCAAAAAACTGCGGACTATGGTGCACGGCCCATTTGTTAAGGAACCAGAAATCTAAATAAAATTCTCTAGCGATCTTTTGAATCAATCTACGAACTGCTTCTGTAGGCCCAACCCTAGCACTGAATCAGTATTCGATCCGCATAATTATGATTTAAAATAAATACAACAATGCAAATATGACAACAGAAGCAAAGCAACCAGATGTGTTGTTTTGGTTCACCATAGCAGCATGCAGAGAACTACCAAACCCATATAAACTAATACATTAACATTTAAAGAGTTCATTATTTTCTGTTCAAATCAAATCAAGTTTTATTTATATAGCACATTTATAAACGATTTTTGGTCGAGCCAAAGTGCTGTACATATAATAAAAATAGCCTACAGTAGAGACACTTTACAGCAAATACAACAGCACAGATTGTTCAGAATATCAGTATGAGAAAAACGACACCCTCTATCCTTAGTTCAGACATTAAGCTTTACTTTCTCTCAAGCTGTCAGCTCACCACAGTGACTGGAACCCTGTAGCTTGTGTGGAAGTGGGTAAATCACCCTCTGTGCACGGTGTTCATGCTCAAAACCCGCCAACTATGATGAAATTGTGATGGAATTGTTGACTTGTTATTTATTCGTTCATTCTAATATAATCATCAATTTTGTCTACGTGACTGCTATTTTTATATATTTATTGTTGTGTCATCATGTATATATTTCTATACTGTATAATTTAATCTTTGGGACGGTGGGAAGCGGTATTTCGGTCTCCCTGTTTGTACCACACATACACATCGATAAATCCTGAATGGTGCACAGAAGAACGTGACAAAGCAAGAGTACTACAGACGACAAGAGTTTATTGTTCTTATGAGAAGAAACAAATGGCCCTGACTTTGGCAGATAATGGTTTGGTTTCATTTTAGAAAATCTGTTTTCAAAGCCTAAAGTCTCACTGTCTGGTTCTTCGTGCAGGTGCAGAACTTGAAGGCTGTTCATACAGACTATGGCAACCGCGTTCAGAGCCTTCTCAACAAGTACAATGCCGAGAACAAGAAGGTAAACACTCTCGCTGTGAGGTCTAATCCAGTGTTGGGTAGCAATCCATCCATGTATAGATGTTTAGATTGGATGAAATGTTAATTTGTGATTTCTCTTTCTTACATATTTCATAATGCCACCAGTTAAGCTTGAATATGCCATGTATCTTATGTTCATTTAAATAATATCATCTTTCTCTGTCTTCTCCACTTTTGTGTTTCTCAGAACACAGAAGTGCACGTTTATAGCCGCCCAGGAGCCTCGGCCATCGCCGCCTCTTCCAAGATGTGAAGCCTTAAATGTCCACAGGCCCCCCCATCATTTATCTACGAGCAAATGCACTTGCGTGATTGCCAACTGCTAGTGACAAGATCGAACTTATTAACCATATAGTTTCAGGTTGGGGTTGGTTAGGTTTTAATTCAGTTAAACTGTTGATTTTCTTTAAAATAGTGAGCTTAATTTGTCTCGACTGAAAAGTCAATAAAAAAAACATAAAAACACCTTGATTTGTTTTTAGTTTAATCCTGTTAATACCAAAAGCATGGCAATTATGAAATCTTGACTTTTAACATTTAAAAGTTCTTAAAGTAATTATAAAAGTCTTTTGCATTTTGATTTGATCTCATTACATCAATTAACCCCAACTGCTGCCAAAAACCATGACATGATTGTTTGCTATAAATCCTCAGGTTGTGTGTGTACTACTACGTTGTAATCATCCAACTATAATCTTAAACTTCAATATAAAGTAAGCCGATGTATTCAAAATGTTTTTCTCTTATGGTTAGTTTTCCATCAATAATCATGAATATTTTATTTAGTACAACTGGCTCTGGAAACCCTTTGTCCGTCGAACTATAAAGCTTGTTTGCTTATGGTCATCTGCCCTACTCATTATATGCAATTTATGAGGAGCAAGTATCAAGATGAGGAATTTATATGCATTATTGCTAAATCTTTAGTGCCTTTTTTGTGTTTATGACTACCAAATAAAGATTATCGTAACCTTAAATCACGAGAACCAGTTATGAAATGCTCTGCTTGATGTTGTACTGATCAGCTCATTTTCAGGTTTTTATATAAATGAATTGGCCTTTCAGCAGCTACTCTTTGTCTCCATTTCTTCTGTTCTCACCGTCTTTCTAAAGCAGGTTTTGTCTTCATGAATCCTTTTAAAGCAGTATTCAAAGATATATTTATATCCAGAAATCTCTTTCACATCAACAAAAAGACCCAACCTTGAAAAAAAGGCCAAGAGTCAAATGAATGCTTATACAATGTTTTAAATGCAAATTAAAACAAGCACTTCTTCTGTATCTTAATCAAATCAACAACATACACAGAACATGTTCCTAAAATCAAAAAAACAAACAATTCTAAATACATCAATTATCAGACAGCTTATTTAACTATCTGTCACACATGTTATTATTTTAACAAAGTATACTCAACAAATTTTAGACCAACCTATAACCAGCCAGTTAGCTCCACTTTGCTCATCTTCCACAACAAACAACAGACTAAGCTGAGGTCAATGCCCCTTCAGTTCAATGTGCCACAACCTGGCCACAACAGGCGACAAAGCAACGTGAAGACCACCGCCAAAACCACAGACAATAGCTCCGTGCAGTGAGCTTCACCTCCATCCGCTCCGCACACATTATAGCAACAATGATAGGCCTACACGCAGGGGTGGCCAACCCGCGGCTCTTTGCCTAGTTTCATGCGGCTCTTCAGTTCATATCGAATTTTATATGTGTGAGTTTGGGGGAGAGACACTGACTCCTGACTAGTTTTGCATGGTGTACCGATACTTGAAAGGTATACCGCGATACCCTGCCGTTAAAAACGTTACGATTCCTCCGTTTCATTAGTATCGGTACTTTAAGAATGACGGGGGAAAGTACTCCGGTGAGAAAGCGCCGTTTTAATAAGAGCCGTGTGTGTTCAGCGCTCTGCTTCCACTCCCTGCACTGCAGCCGTGCCTGCAGTCCCGCCCCTCTCAAGCACGTTCTAAGTCCCTCCCCTCTCAAGCACGCTCTAAGTCCCTCCCCTCTCAAGCACGCTCTAAGTCCCTCCCCTCTCTCGTGCACGCGCTAGCTGCCAGAGCATGTGAGAAAACCAGAAGCATGGCTGCAAGTGGGAGTACAACTGCCGCTGCGCCTCGGCTTGTTGAGAAAAAAGACGCCAGAAGCGATGTATTTTAGCTATATCTCTGACAGTGAGGGCAAGCCTACGGACACCACGAGGCCCGTCTGTAAGAAATGTATTAATTTTATTTAATACGAATTCTTGTCATTTATTTTATTTATTGTTCTCATTGTTTAAAAGTTTGTGTTATGGTTATGGTTCTGGTGTGAAATAAAGCACAATAATTACATTTAAGACTGTTTCCCTTTTTTAAGAAAAATAATCGGAATCGCAATTCTTGACTTGGTATCGAAACCAAAATGTTGGTATCGTGACAACACTGACAGTTAAACCTGATATTTAGTAGGTCTGTTAAGTATTGAATGCTGATAATTCTGACGTAATTTGGCTGGTCAAAGTTGTTCGGGCTCGGATAAAATAGCTCCGTTACTTTCGTCCCGTGTTACTTTCGTCCCGGCTCTCCCTACGTGTGTATGTGTGGTGTCAGGTGTCAGTATGAGAGGATGACAGCGCGTCTAATTTTGATGTGGCCCAAGAGCCAATCACAATAATACCTGCGATGCAGTGAACCAATCACCTTTGAGGGGGGGGAAACCTATCGTTGATTAAACACTATCCAGTGTTTCCCCTACCATTGTCTTAGAGGGGCGCTGCCCGCAAACGGAGCCCCGCCAACGGAGCCCCGCGCCCCCCCCTGGAATTGAAGGTGTTATATAATAAAAAAAATATATATATATGTAGCACCAAATTGCAAATAATCTATAACTACTGTCACTTTTCACATTGAACATGTGCTCTTTTATTAAATAAACTAAACGCTTTCATCTTAAATTGTGGGTTTAGTGTTTTTGACCCTAAGAAACACTGATGCATTAATCAATAACAATAATCCACAGCTCCTCTCTGCTCCAGAGGATTTAAAAAATATATATCCCAATGCCACAAAAATGCATCAGTGACGTGGTTGAAATCTTGTCTCCAGAAAACAAAAAACTGAAACAAGCGGTATCAGTGACTGTGTGTTTGATGTGGCTCTTTGCAGTAACATAGAAAAAATGTGGCTCTTAACCTCTGACTGGTTGGCCACCCCTGCGCTAGGCTAACGCATTAGCAACGGTTAGCCGCGGCTAATTTAGCATCGTACCCTGGGGGCAAAACTAAAAATTTTAGGAAATCAGACATGGAATGTTGTAAAAGGTTGTCCACCAGAAATGATATCTAGGACCTTCAAGGATCATAACCTGGGTGGACAACCCGCTCAACTAGCTACTGGAAAGCTACAGTGAGGGTCCAAACAATGCAACCCCTATATGAAAAAAAGTCAAAAATGCTGTCTGGATCAGATGCCATCATTCTCTTTCTGATTGAATATCTCTGTGACAGTTCATGGTAAAGACAAACTATAGGTTACTTACGTAACCCCAGTTCTCAGAGTAACATGAAGTGAGATGTCTCATTATGGGATGCGCCTCATCGCGGAGCAAACAGAAGCATCAATCTCATTACGCCAATCCTGATTGGCTGGAGATCTTGACGTCAGCGTCAGGGAAATCACCCCCTATAAGTAGCTTGCGCCACAACGCATGCGCCATTCAAAATAAGCACCTCTTCTCGCTTCACCATATTAAGGATGTCTCTGGTGAGACATCTCACTTCATGTTACTCTGAGAACTGGGGTTACGTAAGTAACCTATAGTTCTCATTCATAACACTCCGTTCGATGTCTCACTATGGGAAATTGTAGCTCCCGTATTGCCAGACGAGCTTATCTCGAAAATCACCAAACCAACCAGAACTTAACAGGTAGAGCTCTGACTCAACCAGGTGCCCAGCACTGCTTGAGTCACACTGGGAGCAGAACGTCCAGCCTGTTAGGAGGCAGACAAAAGTGAGCGGCGAGGACCAGCTCGCCGCTGCACCAATGTCTTGGATGGGAGACATCCTGGACAGAGCCCAGGATGCAGCCAGACCCTGAGTCGAAAGAGCTCGCGGACCAGAGGGTGCCTGCGAACTCTGACTCGTATGAGCCCCAAAGCAATTGCTTCCACAAACCAGTGGGAGAGCCGTTGCTTAGTAACAGGCTTGCCCTTATAAGGGTTAGCCCACGACACAAGGGGTTGGTCATTATGAAGAAGCACCCTTGATCTGTCCCTGTACGTGCGTAAAGCACGGGCTGGACACGGCAAATCCGGCCGCTGTTCCCCGGAGGAATACAGTGGCGGGGAGGATGCCTCAATGTCAAATGTGGTACCTGAACCAACCGCCTTAAGATAAAGGCAGGGTTGGGCTTCAACCACACTCTGTTTGCCCTGGGGCGAACTGAGTGCATGAAGACTGTACAGATAGCGCATGAGTGCCACTGGCTCGCTTGGCAGCTGCCAGGGTCAGCTTCATGTCACACTGTATTCAGATTGTACCACTCACGGGCCAGGCCCATAGAGCCAAGCGCTCTGGGTGTGGGTGAAAGATCGCCCCCCCCGCTTGGGACAGTATGTCCCTGTGTAGCGGAAGCTGCCATGGCTGCCCGCACAGCAGCTGATATATCTCCGCTAGCCAGTACATAGCTGGCCAGTGCGGAGCTATCAGGATAAGTGTGTGGCGTTGCTCTCTCACTCTGGCCAGAGTTGGGGGTATCAGAGCCAGGGGTGGGAACGCGTACAGAAGGCCCGGGGGCCAATCGTGCGCGAGTGCATCCACGCCTAACGGTGCATTTAGATCGCGCATTGAAAAGAACAGCTGACACTGAGCGTTGTCTTTCGATGCGAACAGATCCACCGCGGCTCTGCCGTAACGCACCCACAGCTGGCTCCAGTCTGCATAAAGTGGTATACCTCTGGACAGTAGATCTGCCCTGAGGTTCATCACTCCCGGTACGTGCGTCGCTCTCAGAGAGAGGAGACGTCTACCGCTCCATAGGATCAGTTTGCGGGCCAGTGTGTGTAACTGGAGAGAACGCAAACCCCCTTGGCGGTTAATATACGATATTGTGGTCGTATTGTCTGTCCTCACGAGGACGTGATGTCCCCTTAGGAAAGGCAGAAAGCGTTTTAGGGTGAGAAACACCGCTAAAAGGCTCCAAGTAATTTATGTGCACCCGCTGGAGGTCTCTGCTCCAGAGACCCCTCACCGGGCGACCTTCATAAATACCTCCCCAACCTGTCAGACATGTGTCCGTGGTGACCACTTTCCATGAAAGGACAGCACCCATAGGCACACCTCGTACTAGAAAAGTCGGGTGCAGCCAGTGGCGCAGTGCCATTACGCATTTCACAGTAACCATCACTCTCCGTGCGCCATGTTTGCGCAGCTGGAAAAGAGCGAGACAAGCTCTGAAAGCTTTCACTCTTTCCGCTGACAAACGAGCTGAAAAGGGCACCGAGTTCAGGCGTAAACCCAGGAAGAGTATAGTCTGCGCGGGGCACAACATGCTCTTCTCTGTGTTTATTATGAAACCCAGGTTGAGCAGGTGCTTTACGAGGACATTTGTCTGCGTAACAGTCTCCTGCTCCGACTGTGCGAGAAGCAGCCAGTCGTCCAGGTAGGTCGCCAGGCGAATACCCTGTTGTCTTAACGGGGCTATCGCGGCTTCCGTACATCGTACAAACACCCTTGGACTGAGAGACAGACCGAAGGGGAGTACTCTGTATTCATAACAGATCCCCTGAAATGCGAATCTCAGATATTTCCTGTGTGGGTAATATACTGGGATGTGAAAATACGCATCTTTCAGGTCGACTGATGTAAACCAGTCGTCTTGTCGCATGAGCCGCAGCAGAGATGTGTGAGTGAGCATTCTGAACTTATATCTTTTTAGATATTTGTTCAGAGCCCTCAAATCAAGTATTGGCCGAATTCCGTTCCCTCCCCGTTTGGGAACGAGGAAGTACTTGGAATAGAAGCCGCCCTGACTCTGCTCGGCGGGTACAATAGATATAGCCCTCTTTTCTAGGAGTGA